GCAAGTCACTTAAACCCAACTGCCTAGCAAAAGGCAAAAAAAAAAAATCAAGACAAAAAAAATCACACAAGTGGTCTAATCTTTGCTTCAATATTGAGGGGGAAGCTGCTACTCATATGAAAGGCAACTTATTCCATTTGGGGATAGTTCTATTAGGAAGCTCTTCTTTAGAACAAGCCTAAAAACTTTTTTTTTGTAACTTCCACCCATTTTTCTTAGTTCTACCTTGAGGCCAAATGGAACAAGTCTAATCACTGCTACCAGAGACAGCCTTTCTAGTCTTTAGAGGCAGCTATCCTGTCCCCCATGAGTCTTCTCTTCTCCGGGCTCAACATCTTCAGTTTCTTTAGCCAATTTTCATATGGTATGGACTCAAGGACCTTCATGATTGCAGCTGCCCTACTCTGGTCCCTCCAGCCTATCAACATCCTTCCTAGCATGGTGCCCAGAACCGAAAACAGTACTACAGTTGAGGTCTGACTAGAGAAGGCTACAGAGGGACTGTCACTTATTGGCAGTTATAACCTTGGCTCTTTTGACTGCCATATTACATTACTGACACATTGAACTTGTAGTCAGCTAAAATTCCCAGATCTTTTTTAGACAAATTACTACTCTGGGGTGGGGATGCAAGGGGAGGGATTCCCATTAGTGTTTATAATACAGAGGGGAGAAAAAAGGCTAACTAGAAAGCAACTGGCCTTTTTTTGAGTTCACTACTTGGGTATATCCCTTCTTCCTACATGACATTGCTACCTGCCTATAGATGATAACTGGACATTTCCTCCAGTCAGTGGAAAGAAAAAGTTTGTAACCAACGAAGCAGAAGAAAGATGTTTGTTCTGGACAATAGCTTTGAATCTTACTCCTGGTAGGAATCCTACTTAATATGTACCAAAGATAATGATTACTAGTTCTTTTAGAACATTTTCTACACTGTAATTATGGTTTTGTGATTATTTAAGAATAGCTGTACTATATCTGAAAGGAGCCTCTGTATTAACAGTTGAAAGCATAAAAAAAAAATCAGTCTAGTCAAATTTGGCCCCTTGTCCCAGAGGGAGGAGTAAGGGCATACAGAAATATAGAATGACTGAAAAATCTACAATTGAATGACTGAGTGCTAAAGGAATTTTACCAAACTCTATGTGTATCCTTACATAGTGCAGTGATTATTGGTATATTCAAGTGTTTGAAATCTACTTACTCTAGGTTGGATTACTTTTAAAGGGCTCCCTGAGTGAAAACACTCAGAATTAGCCTGTAGTTCTGAGCAGGGCTGATTTCCTAGAAATACAACATGTGCAGCTCCACCTCTCAGCACAAGGAAGACTGAGAATCCTTTGGTTGCAAAGTGAATTATTAGCACATCTCCTTAGCATATTGATTAACTATAGGCTATACCCCTCAAATATGTCTTTGAAATGAAAAAAAAAATAGAAATGTAATGAAAAAGAATCCTACAAAATTTTTATTGTTCAGTTATCTCAGTTGTGCCTGACTCTTCATGACCCCATTTGGGTTTTGTTGGTGTTTTTGTTTTTGTTTTTGGCAAAGTTACTGGAGTAGTTTGCCATTTCCTTCTCCAGCTCATTTTACATATGATGAAATTAAGGTAAACAGGGGTAAGTGATTTGCCCAGGGTCACAAAGCTAGTAAGTGTCTGTGGCCGGATTTGAACTCTGGTCTTCCTGACTTCAGGCCCTGTGCTCTATCCACTGAGCCACCTAGCTGCTCCATATATGTACAAAATTACCATAGTTGAAAAAGCACCAACCTATTTGGGATAAACCCATTATTTTAAAGAGGCTTTACCACACAAATCTATAAAACACCATAACAAACTAAAAGGAGCCCATGATCAAAGAACTGGAAACAAAGTAGAAGCCCATTGATTGGTAAATAATTTTAAAAAATTATGGTTCATGAATGACATAGAATATTACTGCAACAAAATAAATAATGAACATGAAGATTTCAGAGAAATGTGGCAAAACATATGAACATAGGCAGACTAAAGTAAGCAAAACCCAGGAAAACAATATATATATATACAATGACTACAACAATATAAAGGGAAAGAATAATCAAAGAAAACAATGCTAGAAATGATGACCAAGCTTGGCCCCATATAAGGTATATGAAAATGCACTTCCCTCCATTCACTGGAAAGGTGGGGAATTATGGGTAAGGAATGTTTCACATACTGTCAGACACAGTCAATTCATTGGTTCCTTCTTTTAAAATCTCTGTCAGAAGGCTTGATGGGTAGTAGAGGGAGAGAAGGATATATTCAGAAATGAATCCGATTTTAAAACAAAAGGCATTAATAAAACTAAAAATAACAATAATTAAGAAAACCAAGGAAAATGAAGACCTTTAGAATGAGACACTGGCTTAAAAATACAGAAGAGAAAAATTTTAAAATCCAAAATATTTAAAGTTATTCAACATACAAGTTTTATGGGAAGAATTTTAAAATTCAGTAAGTACATTTGATATAACAATTTCAAGGCATATACAGCAGGTGCCCATAGCTTTTCTACGGTAGCAGAGTCCTTGCCATTATTAAATACATGTCAGTGTTGGAGATTTCCTAGACTTTACCTCCTTTGACTATATTTAGAGCGATCCTGTATGTGTACTGGTGTTACCACTAAAGCAATACCTAATAATAAAACAAAGAAAATTTTAAAAAAATGTCCATGAAAATGAAGCTAACTTCTCTAAACCCAGTAACTTCTAGGAGTTTCCCAAGTCTCACTTTATTTCCAATTTGTAGAGGTAGGGACCCTTTATTAACCATTGCTCAGGAGTTCATTTTTTCTAGCTCTTACTACCACACTCTTAGGCCTCCATCCCATGAGCATCCCATTCAGGATGTTAGATAAAGAGCTGATGAATGTCTTGGGAAAGAAATACCTCTTTCCCCCCATTCCTATTGGTCACTTCATGACAGTTGTGAAAACAGATGGAGCATCTCAAGCCTTCCTCATTGCTTCTACAGTGCTAGTGTCCCACCCTATTCTGCCACCTTCATTCCAGCATCTCTATCACAATTGTTAAGACTCCTCAGCACCTGAAACAAAGGCCGACTTAACTTCCTCTAAACCACACACATCAGGCTGAGATTCAGCTGAAGACTGTTAAGCTAAGGATGCTAACTTTAACCTTCCCCCATATTGCTTAAAAGCTTCCCACTACTTGTTTTGGAGACATGGCAGCATTTGGACCCCAGAACTTCAACAGGATCTTCCAGGTTAAAGAAGTTAATACAGTGGGGTCATTTTCAATTGCCCTTTCTAGTCCTCTCCACCTCTTTTCTGAGCCCATATTCATCTAATGGTCAGAAGATTTTGTAGGAGCATTGAAACAGTGAAGCAAAAAAGCCCATAAAAATTGAGAAGACAGACAGCAGGCTACTCAAGAGAGAGGAAATGAATTCATATGACAGACCAGATTATAATGGATCAGGCCCTCATAGGAATAGCTCACTTAAGAGAGGGCAGAACAGAATACACTAAAGGAAAAGGTAGGGCTTAGGCTGGACAGCCTAGTGACTCAGTGGATAGAGTGCTGGGCCTAGAATCAGGAAGACCTGAGTTCAAATCTGGCCTCAGACACTTATAGCTTACTACCTTGGGCAAGTCACTTAACCCTGTTTCCTTTAGTTTCATCATCTATAAAATGAGCTGAAGAAAGAAATGGCAAACCTCTCCAGTAGCTTTGCTAAGAAAACCCCACGTGAGATCATGAAGAATTTGATGACTAAAATGATGGAACAATGACAAACAACCAGGCTTAGGTTCCAGGTCAGAGAGAAATGAGATACAGGGGAAGACAGGATTTCTTAGAGGCTACAGGCAGAGAATTCCAATGCACAGGGATGGACATGACTCAGGTAGTAGTGTAGTTGTAACCTGAAACTAGAGGTAGCTGTGCAAGCACCTGAGACCAAGAATAGAAAAAAAAAGTGTCTTCAGGGGCAAAAACTCTAATTATTAGGATAACATCAGCATAGTTTCAAATTGAAGACATCATGGTGAACCTTCCTCATCCAGAAACCATATAGGAATTAACAAAATTTTGCCCAACCTGAGCTAGAGGCAGTAAAGAGATTAAATATCATAAAGACAAGTAGTGCTTTGTATAACTGATTTCAAGTTTCTATATGACATGTTTGAAAACTTGACTCACACAAACTGTTGCAAACAAACCAAATTGTGGATCCTCTCAAATCAGAGTAAAAGGAAGTACCCAGTCATGTACTTGCATCTATGTGTTGGACTACAAGGTGTAATAAGATAATATGGGGTATAGAATGTGTGTCCAATGGTATACATGAAGAAATATAGCTGTCAGAGAGTAACAGTATATAGGAGGAGGCCAGGATTTAGGGATGAGAATACCCCTAAGCAAAAAACATTAAGGGGCAGCTAGGTGGCAGAGTGGATAGAGCACCAGTCCTGGATTCAGGAGGACCTGAGTTCAAATCCAGCCTTAGACCACATAATGCTCACCAGCTGTGTGACTCTGGGCAAATCACTTAACCCCAATTGCCTCACCAAAAACAAAAACAAACAAAAAAAAAAACCAGTAAAGATTTTGAGCCCTTGTTTGGTTACACAGGGATGAAAGAGAAAAAGGACTAGCACTAACACTCAGAAAATAAATAGATATATGTTATCTTAAAATTTGCTTTAAAATAGCACCTTTATAGTGTTTGCTTAAATTTAACAGTTTTAATATTACTTTTCCATATTTAATACTTTTTAGATAAAAGAGAAAATCAGTGGTTAAATCTATGAGGGCTCCAGCAGAAAAACACCTTAGAATATCAGGAAAGGCACACACACTTTGGAATTCAGGCCACAGAGAGGGCCCCACTATGGTCAGAGAATGGCATTATACCAAATTTGTAGAAAAGTTTATGAGAGTGAACAAACTTCTTTAAGAGATGAATATTCAGAACAAAAGTCATTAAGTGACAGCTTTGTCACATGGCTTATCTCCAGTATGACTTCGCTGATGCTGAATAAGGTTAGAGTGTTGACTGAAGGCTTTCCCACAGTCATTACAACCATAGGGTTTCTCTCCAGTGTGAATTCTCTGATGTTGAATAAGAGTTGAGCGTGCACGGAAGGTTTTCCCACATTCATTACATTCATAAGGTTTCTCTCCTGTGTGAATTCTCTGATGTTTAATAAGATTAGAGCTCAGGATAAATGACTTACTACATACATTACATTCAAAAGGTTTTTCTCCCGTATGAATTTTTCGGTGCTGAATAAAAGATGAACGGTCACTAAAAGCTTTGCCACAGTCATTACACTCATAGGGTTTCTCTCCAGTATGAATTCTCTGGTGTTTAATAAGATTGGAGCTCTGAATGAAGGCTTTTCCACATTCACTGCACTTATAATGTTTCTCTCCAGTGTGTATTTTATGATGTCGAATAAGGCTAGATCGCTGACTGAAGGCTTTGCCACATTCATTACATTCATAGGGCTTCTCTCCAGTGTGAATTCTCTGATGATCAATAAGGTTAGAACTCTGACTGAAAGTTTTCCCACATTCATTGCACTCAAAGGGTTTCTCTCCAGTATGGATTTTACAATGCTGAATAAAAGATGATCGTGAACTAAAGGTTTTCCCACATTCGCTACACTCATAGGGTTTCTCACGTTCATTTTGTTCATAGGGCTTCTCTTCAATATGTGTTCTCTTATGTCTATTGAAGGATGAGCGGGCACTAAACATTTTCCCACATTCACTACATTCATAGGATTTCTCACCAGTGTGAGTTTTACAATGTTGAATAAAGGATGAACGGGCACCAAAGGCTTTCCCACATTCATTACATTCATAGGGTTTTTCTCCAGTGTGAATTTTTCTATGTTGAATAAAAGATGAGCGTGCACTGAAGGCTTTCCCACATTCATTACATTCATAGGGTTTTTCTCCAGTGTGAATTTTTCTATGTTGAATAAAAGATGAGCGTGCACTGAAGGCTTTCCCACATTCATTACACTCATAGGGTTTTTCTCCGGTGTGAATTTTGCAATGTTGAATAAAAGATGAGCGCACACTGAAGGCTTTCCCACATTGATTACATTCAAAAGGTCTCTCTCCAGTATGACTTCTCTGATGTTGAATCAGATTAGAGCGCTGGATAAAAGCTTTTCCACAGTCATTACATACATATGGTTTTTCTCCAGTATGAATTTTATGATGTTGAATAAGCACTGAGTGGTAACTGAAAGCTTTCCCACATTCATTACAAGTATAAGGTTTTTCTCCAGTGTGAATTATTTGATGATGAATAAGGTTAGAGCTCTGACTGAAGGTTTTCCCACATTCATTACATTCATAGGGTTTCTCTCCAGTGTGAATTCTCTGATGATCAATAATGTGGGAGCTCTGACTAAAACTTTTCCCACATTCGTTACATTCATAGGGTTTCTCCCCAGTATGGATTTTATAATGTTGATTAAAAGATGAATGTGCACTGAAGCTTTTCCCACATTCATTGCACTCATAGGGCTTCTCTCCAGAATAAATTTTCTGATTTTCAATAAGGATTGAATTCTTCTTAAACTTTACTTTCTCATATACATTAGATTTGCAGGGGTTCTCTCTCATGTGAATTCTCTGATGTGTGACAGGATGTGAGTTCAGGCTGAAACTTCTCCCAAGTTTATTACATTCCTTGCTACTCTGCCCTGTGAGGCTTTTCTTGTGTATCATTTTCACCGGGTTAAAATCTCTTTCATGGTAAAGATGTTTCTTCAATTTCCCCTCTGAATGTCTTCCCCAATGTATCTTTAGTTTTCCCTCAGATTCCCAAGGTTTTCTCAGCTTAGCTTTCTGGAGACTATTCCTTGTGAGTCTTTTCAATATCATATGCTGGAATTCCATTCCTTCTGGAATTTCCTGTTCCGGTGAGAACTTCTTGATCTTAGTCTTAGTCTCACAATCTGAAATAATAAAGGGGAGGAAAAAGCAAATGTCACCTTTTATTAGGGAAATGGCAAACAGCTGGGGCAGAAACAAAACAACTCAAAAGAATCATTGCCTAGAAAACGATGACATTTTCAGATCTCGATATCAGCATCACAATTGGGAGAAAGGATAGCAGTGGGAAGAAATAAATGGAAAGGGGTGGTAGGTACTGAGGAAGAGCCACAATGAGAGAATAAGATGAGATTCCACAGAGAAGAGAGGGGGAGGGAAAGTAATTGAAGAATAATAATCCAATTGAGGAGGAAGGGATGAAAACGAATACTGTAGTTGGATAGAGGGGAAAAAAGAGGTTGGTTGGAGATAGGGAAAATGAGCTCTCAGGTAGCATAAGTAGGTTTAAAAAATGTGAAGGAAGTCTACTAAGAAAATCATCCTTACTGTTTAAGCCCTCTTTAGATATCCTAGCATATGCTAACTACTGGATACTCCATAAAAATACTTTAAAAATGAAATACTAAAAGGCTATATGTAATACAGAAGGATGAGTATTAAATAGGATTAGGTCTGTAATGATATAAACTCCCCTCCCCCCCCTTGGAGTAATATGGAGTAAACTAAGTGGACTAGAGAAGAAAATAAGGAATATAAAAATAGAAGCTTAAATATAGTTGAATTGGACACCTATTAGCCAACAAGAATTCAAGATGTGGAAGACCAGAAAAGTGTGGAAAAGAAAATTTTTTTCCATTTTTCTCAAAATTGCCATGAGGTGAGGCATGTGAAAAAATATTTTAAGACAAAAGTGTCTTGAAATAATCTCAAAGCTTTTAATCTCCCCCAATTTTTCCAGTTTTTTTTCTGAGCTTTCACATACCTCATCAACAGTATTCAATAATGAAGTAAAAATGTTAATAAGTGTGAGTAGAAATTCAATACTAAATAACAAGGGGGGAAAAAGCAGTTAAAGACCATATGTCCAAATAAATGAGAATGAACAGTAAACATTAGACCAAATTAGACACATGGAAAAACTGGGCCTGTGAGAGTAGCTATGATTTGGCAAAACATATCATCAGACTGGGACAAGCATGTATGATTTCTGGATAACAAAAGCATTAGCTGGAAGAGGCTACCAGGTGCATTGTAAAGTGCTGGACTGAATGTCAGGACTTGAATTCATATACCAACTTGAACACGTGCTAGCTATATGACCCTGGACAAATCACTTCACCTATCTGAGCCTCAGTTTCCTCATCTGTGAAATGAGGTTAATACTTACATTATTAAACCTAACAGGGTTGTTGCCAAGACAGCACTTTGTAAACCTTAAATAATTACATAAATTCAAGATATTGATATTATCACCACTATTATTACTATTTTTTGGAACTAAAATCTTGAAACCACAAATAAGGTAAATATTACCCCAGGCATGAAGACCAGAAAAAAGCTAATGCAAGAAGAATTGAGGGTTGGACAGCTCAGACAGTGAGTGGTTCACAACCTATAGACCAGAAAACTCTAGAGAACTGAAGTTATTGCCAGGGGTCCATTGCCAGTTATGTACCTTCTCAATCAATGAAACTAATAACTGGTATTATGGAGGGAGGGGATCCACAATATTTTTTTGCTATTGAAAAAGTGTTCTAATGGATTAAGAACACTTGGGTTAGGCAAAAGTTATCATAAAAAATCAAATTCACATTCTGGCAAGAGAAAAGTTGAAAAAAAAAAGAGACAAAAGTGTTTGTATTACCAGAAAAAACACAGCAGTGCTACAAAAACCACTGTGACCTAGAGGGAGGAGAACCAAATGAAAGCTCATTAGAGGATAATTTTGCAAAGAAAGAAGAAGGTAAGGATTATTTTCCTACTATATACAAAGCTTCAATGGGAAAAGTAAGTCAGATAAAAATTCCTTGATCAAGCCACACTCTCTTCTCCTCCCCCACTCAATAAATTCTAGTGGCTCCCTATTATCTCCAGGATAAAATGTTCTATCTGGCATTCAAAGCCCTTCATAACATAAGCCTCTCCTACCTTTCTAGTCTTTTTACACCTTATACCCTGCCAAGCACTCTATGGTTCAATGACCCTAGTCTTGTTGTTCCATAAACAAGACACTCTGTCTCTTGGCTCCAGGCATTTTCTCTGGCTGCACTCCAAGACTAGAATACCTTCTCTCCTCCACTCCAACTATTGAATGCCTGGCTTCCTTTAAGTTTCATTAAAATCCCATCTCCTACAGAAAGCCTTCCCCAAACCCTCTTAATTCTAGTGCCTTCCCATTGTTAATTATTTCTTATTTCCTGTACATAGCTTTGTTTGCTATATTTGTTTGCATGTTGTATCCCCTACTTGCCCCATTAGATTGTAAGCTCTTTGAGGGCAGGGACTGTCTTTTGCCTCTTTTTATATCCCCAGTACCTAGAACAGTGCCTGGCACATAGTAGGCACTGTTGAGGGCCACTCTTAAGAGTCTGATATGGGTTTCAGATCCAGGACAGAGTTTGACCTTTGCCCAGGCTTTAACCCAAAGGGCTCAATAATTAAGAAGCAAGGCTCTCCAAATCTCTCCCTGCTAGGAGGCTCCTGAGACATTCCTTCTCACTCTTTGAACCTTAGATTTACATATTCACTCCTCTATACCTGCCTCAGGAAAAAGCCTTGGAATTTACAACTGTGTCTAGGAACTCTGATAAGGAGGAAATGGTTTTGGGGAGTGTCTCACGGGGAGGACTCTTTGAAGTTAGGATGGATTTTCTCTATATATCCTGTACCCTCAGAAGAATAAACTGAGTCAGTTCTACTGCTCCTCCTGGCCCACATCTTTACATTTTATTTCACACCTTTCCATTGGGTGTACTATCTGGTTGCGGGCAACAGGCACTTAACAAATGTTCATTGAATTGCTCAGAATGGAATTCAAAAGTCCATTTTAATGAAATACATAAGAAAAATCTTATGTTTAATGACAATGAAACATGTACCTCTTAAGATCTCTCTACCTTCAGTTCCCTGCATGTCCAGGAACCATGGTTCTCCTCTTAGTTCTAGCTGTAAGATCACATCAGGTTTGGAGACTGGAAATCCTATTCATGAAAAAGAAAATTGGATTAGTTCTGCGTGCAAAGAATTGTCCTGAGCTCTGTACAAGGCACTGAATCTGCAGGGGATGGACAGACTGGTGAACAGTATCCATGGAAGCCATGATTGGAAGAACTATGCATTCTCTGAAAGAGTTTTATATTCCTTAGAGGAGCGATAGAGATTCAAAAGGGTTGGTGATATGGGCATAGAAATGTACTCTCCTTGAAGAGTCTGGAAACCTACAACTAAGAAAAAATCTAGAACCTGGGTTACCAAAGATGGACCATTGCTACATATACTGCTCATAGGAAAATAAAAATGTAGATTCAATAAGAGCTCCTATAAGCTGCCAATTTTCACTTCTGCATAGATATACCTGTTTCCTGGAAATAAAAAGGCAGAGATGTCCTATCACCAAGCTCAGGCAGATTAGGAATAGTGGTGGTGGTAGTAGTAGTAGTAGTAGTGGTAGTAGTAGTAGTAGTAGTAGTAGTAGTAGTAGTAGTAGTAGTAGTAGTAGTAGTAGCAGCAGTAGTAGTAGCTGCTACTGACATTTACATATGCTTTAAGTTTACATTTGCAAAGTATTTATATGATCTCATTGTAATTCAACTCAACAGGCATCAATTAATTAATTATGTACAGATACTATACCAGGGACTGGTGACATAAAGCCAAAAGAAAGAAACAATCCCTGACCTCAAGCTTACATTCTACCTTCTGTTCCTCTATTACTTCCCAAATACCTGAGAATCTAGGAGCCCAGATTCAGTATTATTTATTAAGGAAACTCCACATCAAAGAGCAGTTGATCTGTAAAACAGTTTGCTTATTGACTATTACATTAATTTATGTGGGTAACAGCCCTTTCCTAGACTGTGAGCTCCAGGAGGACAGAGATTATGTCTTATCTAAACTGTATGTCCCTCAGAGCCAAGCACAGAGCTCTACATACAGCAGATACAGAAACACTTACTGAAGCAGAAACCATTATGAATAGAATTTTATTCTTTTCCATTGATCCCAGCAACCTTATGATGTAGCTGCCATTATTGTCACATTTTTTTTACAAATAAGAAAACTAAACTCTGATTCTAAAAGTAGTTCGTTGGAACTCTTCAAATCCCACAGTTATTCACAAAGGATAAAGCCAAGAGTCTCAGATCTGAGACCTGGGGAGAAGTCTTACCCAGGGAGACCACATTGCCATAATTCTCCAGCATCACATCCCTGTAGAGGCCCCTTTGTGCAGGCTCCAGATGGCCCCACTCCTCTTGGGTGAGGTACACAGCCACATCCTCAAAAGTCACCGATGCCTGAAAATAATAGTCCTATTGCAATCTCAGACATAGTTCTTGGGGTGGGGAAAGAGGAGTCTGCAAATCATAAAATCATTGCAAAGAGTGGATTGAGATTATGAAGAAGAGCCAATTCCCTTCTCCATATTAGGAATACATGTATATGGAAGCCTTTGCCCTCAGGGAAGGGAACTGGGATTCCAGTTTCTTTGGGAGGAATAGGATTTCCTGGGCAGAGAGGCCTAGGCAAAGGGAAAGGACAAAGGTCATGAAAAACTATAGCAATGGAGGTCTCGGAAATTCTGGACAGCTCACCTGAGGCCCAGTTGTCAAGAGCTTGGTGGCCATCCCTTGCTCTCCCAGGATTAGGCTGAAACCTAAAAGGAAGGTAGATCTGGGGAAATAAAAAGAAATGGGAGGGAAATGAGTGTTGCCCTCTGGCTCCCTTACTAGCTTAGCATCCCCTAGCTTTCCCCTGGACTTTGCCGAGGTCAAGGCACTTCAAATATTGAGTGTGTTCATAAGGACACAGATATGTGCTGTCAACTGCACAAGTTACCATGAGGCTATATCTGAGACTCACCATCTCAGGAAAGCCACACTCTACCAAGCCCCCAAATTACAGTCCTGTTCTAGCAGAACAAACATATTAAGGACCTACTACATGCAAGCCACTGTTTTAAGTATTGATGAAACAAAGGAAGATAATAACTGGCATCTAGGCAGTGCTCCATCTCCCATCTCTGTGTTTTTTCCCTGGCTGTTCCCCATTGCCTCAACATTCTGGTTTCTTTCATGACTCAATTCAAAAGCCACTTTCTTCAGGAAACCATCCTGATCCTGGGCTGCTTGAACCTTCCCTCTCTAAAGTAACCTTTTTTCTATTCTATGTGTACCTTACAAACAACTGCTTATTTATAAGCAGCCTCCCCCACTTTATTTACATTGATGCCAGCGTCCCTTGAAGATAGGGTCCGGTTTTCTCCTTCTTTTGCATCCTTAGCCTGTGGCTGTGCATGGCACATAGTAAGGGCTTAATAAATGCTTGTTGATTGATTACTTTGAAGTCTGCAAAGCACTTTACCCGAATACTTCCTTCAAGCCTCACAACAACCCGGTGGAGTGTGTACCACAGCCAATCTCAGTTCCATTTTACAGATGACGAAATTGGGCATAGAGAGAGAAACTGATCTACTCATAGTCCCACTGATAATAGGAACAGAAGCAAGATTTGAACCCAATTCTTTCTGACTACAAATCTAACATTTCATCCACTCTATAACCATGCTGTTTCTAGACAAAAATCAATGTTCCAGTCAGGGGTATGCTGGTTAAATGTTTAACAACCGGTTCTGCCAAAAAAAAAAGTACATAGGACTTTAAGTTTACATTTGCTCCATCACTTTCTTAAGTCTGGACAATCCAGAAAACAATAAATCAAGCCTTGCTTTCTAGCATTTGCTCATTTCCAAGGTGCAAATGCTCACACTTGAAAATTAGCTGGCACCAACATACTGCTGGTTCTAGGAAATATGGGGTGTGTGTGTGTGTGTGTGTGTGTGTGTGTGTGTGTGTGTGTAAATACAAGGGGATTTGAAGAGAAAGAAAGCATGTATTGAGAAATACAAGTATAAGTATTGGTAAATAGGTTCTACACATGCACCAGAACTGATCATATCTGCTGCCTTATAAAACAAATTAGCATTTCTATTGAGCTTAATTGGAACACTTAACTACCCAAGCTACACAAAAAAATCTTTTAGAAAATAAATGCAAAGCAAAGTATGTCTAATATTTTCCCTACAATTATCTTGTACCTTTAAAAATTAAAGATTTTAAAAGTGCTTTAATAAATACAGGTGAAAATTTTGAAGAATTTACCTTTGGGTGTTTTTGATGTTCTATAACATACTTTAGCTTCAAAATTAAGTAGATGAGGCTTTCTGATTATAAAATATTATATTGCTGAGTTTCTACTATGTTTGAGTGCATATGACTATCACTCACATTGAACTTATGGTCCACTAAAACCCCCAGATCTTTTTCAGACAAATTGCTCCACAACCATGATTCTACTATCTTTTGTGGCATTTTGTTTTAAACCTAAGCATAAGACTTTATTTATCACCCCTATTAAATTTCATCTTGTTAGACTTGACCTAATGTTCAAGTCTGTCACTATCTTTTGGGATTCTGACAACCATCCAGTATGTTTTCTATCCCTCCTGGCTTTCAGTCACTGTACATTTTTTAAGTACGCTATCTGTGCCTTTATCCAAGTCCCTTGCAAATATGTCAAATAGCAAAGGTCCAGGCAGCCCAGAGGCTCCACTGGTGACCTCTTTCCAACTTGATGTTCGTGTCTCCACCGGCAGTCATTTAACCAATTCTGAACCCATCTAATTGCATTATCACCTAGCCTACAACCCTTTATCTTTGCCACAAGAATAGCTTAAAGGATTTAATGAAATAGTTCATTGAAAATCTAGACAAATTATATCTGCAACATGAGGATGAGGATACTGAGCCTGAACAAAGTGAAGAGATTTGCCCGAGGTTATGCAACCAATAAGGGTCTGAGGCAGGATTTGAATACAAGTTTTCCTGACTCTAAGCCTATCCATTACACTACCTAGCTAGCTACCTTTGAGCTACTCATCTAAAAGCCTGCCAAAGAAGGAAAACAGCTTATTTTGAAATAATTATATCTTGATGAAGCTCTCAAATACATCTCTCATATCCCCCCAGTGGAATATAAATTCTTTGAGTTTAAGACTATTTAATTTGTGCTTCTGTATCCTCAGCACCTAGCATATAGTAGGGGCACAATAAATGTCTGTGAAATTAAACTGAATGTGAGTTTGGGTGTTTTTTTTTATATTCAGGGAAAAAACAGGATCAAAGAAGGAACAGAGCCACCTTATAGGATGGATGGAATGAATATAATGAATAATGGTGAGAAGAATGAGCTGTCAACTCTTATCTTGCTTCTGATTTCTCTGCCAAGAAAAACAATCTTTGGTTTAGATCATAGTTCTTAACTTGGGGTTTACGGATCTGTAGATAGCTTTGTGGGGGGAGAGGAAAGGTTCATAAACTTAGATGGGAAAAGTACATATTTATTTTTATTAACCTCTAACTAAATTTAGCATTTCCTTAAATTACGAAACATTATTTGAGGAGTCTAAAAGGTATCACCAGACTCTCAAAGGGGTTCATGACACAAAAATGGTTAGGAACATCTGGTCTAGATAGAAAATGTTTAGCAAGGAGTTGAAATCTAATATAAATGAGGAGACAGCCAAACAGCAAAAAGCTGATTTCAATGAGTTCCAGTCACCAAGCCAAGATGAAGTGTATCCAAAGTACTAAAAGAACTAGAAGATAGTTGTATTGGGCCATGGTCAGTGACCTCTGAAAGATCACGTAGAATGGAAAACGTGCTACAGAACTGAAGAAAGGCAAATGCTGTCTGAATTTTCGAGAAAGAAATGATAGTAATGCTTACACACTATAGACCAGTGAACCTGATTTCTATTCCTGGAAAAACTTAGAAGACAATATTAAAGGTACGGTTTGTGAACATTTAATAAGAGAAGCCACAATCACTAAAAGCCAATCTGGCTTCACTAACAGTTCATCCCAGATAAATCTCATTTCCACTTCCAGCAAGTAACTAGACCAGTAACTGAGAAGAATACTAAAGACATTGTCAAATGCTTTGTTAAGAACACTATGTTGGGGCAGCTAGGTGGCGCAGTGGATAGAGCACCGCTTTGGAGACAGAAGGACCTTAGTTCAAATCCGGCCTCACACACATAACACTTACTAGCGGTGTGACCCTGGGCAAGTCACTTAACCCCAATTGCCTCACCCAAAAAGCAAAAATAAAATAAAAACACTACGTCTCTCATGCTATCTGAAGGAACTAGTTGGAGAGATACAGGATAAATGATAATATAGTAAGGAGGATTTGGAATGAGTTGAGTGAAGTTACTAAAGGCTTAATGTCAACCTGGAAGGAAGTCTCTAGTGCCTCTGAGATCTGTCCCTATTTTAACATTTCTATCAATGACTTGGACGGCCGGTATATACAAGTTGACACAATTAACAAGTTGGAGGATGACCTAAAACTTGGAAGGATAATTAAGATGCTAATACAGAATCCAGACCTAAATAAATCAACAAGCCAGAAAAATGGTCTGACAAAATGACATTTCATAGAGTCAAATGAAACATTCCACACTAAAGTTTTTTGTTTGTGTGTTTTAAAATCAATATCTGAAGTTTAGGATTACGGCAGGGGGAAGTGATTCATCCAAGAGTTCCTATGAAAAAGTCTAGCGGTTTCAGCAGACTGCAATCATGAGTCAGTATGGGACCGAAACCCCCAAAATTTATGCTACCCATGCTCAATTAAGCGAGCCAGAATGTCTAGATCAGGCCACATCGGGGTTAATGTGTCCAATTTTAGTCACACATTTTAAGAAAGACATAGACACCCTGGGGGCATGTCCAAAAGAGGGTATCCATGGTGATGAGAGAGGACTGGAATAGATAGTATATTGTGTTTAGGCATAACCCTAATATCCCTCTTCCTCAGGTTAACTGTCCAAGTCCCTTCACCTCATCCTTGTATAGCACGCCCCTGGATTCGCTTGCCTGGACCCAAACTCTAAACAAGCATTGTTTCCACCAGAACGCAATGTCTCTCTCCGGTTCCGCACACATCCAGCCCCTGGGCCCCCAGAAGCCTAGCCCAGGCTACCACGCCCCCTCCTAGAGCCCAGGGGGTGCGGCTGGAGGAGGGAGGAGACAGCACTGACAACCCCGCCCATCGGCTCTTCTGGACTCACCCTCCGCGCGCGGAGGGCAGGGGATGGAAAGAACAGGACCCAGCCCCAGTCAGTGCACAAAACACTGGCCTTGCCCCTGAGGGAGAGGAGCTAGGGCACCCGGACCTGAAGCACTGCCCCGTCCTCACGCCCCTGGGGAGCCGCCCAATCGGAGCACAGAGCTGCAGTGGGCGGAGCAGAGGACCGGGCGGGCATCTTTGTGGTCCTGGTTCCCCAGTGGGGCAATGGGACTGAAACGGGTGGCCACGATGGGGCTCTGTCCACCTCTGAGGCAGCTGGATGGAATCCAGCTCCGTACACGCTTCCCTCCCGACACCGCCCCGGGGCTCTAACAGGCCCCTTAGGGACAAACCCGCGACCACGACAGACCTGCCAGGAGCGGCAGCAAAGGTCCTATCAAACGCCTAGAGCTGAGACAGTCGCCCCACTACGGGCAGCAGAGTGTGCGCACGCGCCGTGGTTGAGGGTTGGGAGTGGTGTGGGAGAGAGGGCGCCCAACTCCTGAATGAGAACTGGAGTGGAGCTCCAGAATGCCCGGAGGCGAAGAGAGGCGAGCAGGACCCTCATGGACTACATTTCCCAAGATGCACCGTGAAGGGAAGCCGAGCTGTGCGGAAAGGACTACATGTCCCATAATGCAACACTCACACACCTACATCCTATGAGTCGGCCCCTGAGCCTTTTTTCCGGTGGGTTACCTCGCCCCGGAAGATATAACCCTGTTGGGAGGCCGACTTCCTTTTTCTAGCGAGTCCGGAGCCAGGTAAGATCTACTCGTCTGGTTCTCTGTGGCCTTCAGCCATCCGTGCCCAATCGGGGCCTTCAGAGCGCCATCCACCCTTGGGCAGCGGCCCCCCACTTGTTGGTGACTCCCTGTTTCTAACGGTTCTTGGGGTGCCGCTTCTCTGGGCCCAAGGAGGTGATGGCGCTGAGCCGTACCCGGTGCCTCCCACCCCCTCCTCCGCCAGACTGACATGGCGGCGTCTCTCCGCGGAGTAGCCGAGGCTGGCGTGCGAGGCTGTGCAGCCTGGTCCTGGGCGCCCGGGGGAGGCAGCGCGCGGGCTCCCGTTTTCTCACTGCCCTTTCTCCCTCCTTTCCCAGACCGCGCGAGATGGGCCGAGTGATCCGTGGTCAGAGGAAGGGTGCAGGCTCCGTCTTCCGCGCTCACGTGAAGCACAGGAAAGGGGCTGCTAAGCTCCGGGCTGTCGACTTCGCCGAGAGGCATGGTTACATTAAGGGTATCGTAAAGGTGAGGCTGAGACGGGCATCCGTGTAGCTTGAAGGGTGGAGATTTGGATACTACCTGGGAGTTCTTCTCAGGTCCCAGTCCAAAGACCCCCGAGAAGGGCAACAGCCCAGCTCTCCATTCCCATGTCCAGTTTCTCTCTAACATCAGGGGGATGGGGATATTACTTTAGAAAATGAGTCGTTCTTTCAGCACGTTCTTATTAAGCGTGCATTATGTGTCAAATATTGAAAACAAAAACAGTCCCTGCTCTCAAGCTAAAATTCTGATGGGGAAATCAACGTGCAAACAATTTAATAGGTTAATCGGGAGGTAATTTAAAGTAATGCACTAGCAGGGTATTTCAAGCAAGGGACAACCAGTAAAAGCCTTGGAGTGTTATATTCTACTGACAGCTTCCGTATCAAAGATTGAGAGGAAAGAAGTGTTAGGACTGAAAAAGTAGGAAGGGGCCAGGAATTCCAAGAAGAAAGTTCAATTCACTTATCTTCCAGTAATTTTTCTTCACTTCATTTGTGACAGTCCATCTTTGGATCTAATTAAAGTCTTACCTGCTTTAACTCATACATGCTGTCTCCTGCATGTGTTATCTTCCTGTGTAGAATATACTCTTCTGGTTGGCAGTGACTGGTTTTGCCTTTCTCTACATTCCCAGCACTTAATGGTACTTACCTAACTAACTTTCCTAACCCAGAAACAGTGCCAAAGTAAGTCCTAATTGCTAACATGTAATTTCAACTGGCAGTATTTAGTAAATTCTTAAATGTTCCTTCAGGACATAATCCATGATCCAGGCCGAGGGGCCCCTCTTGCAAAAGTAGCTTTCCGGGATCCTTACCGATTTAAAAAGAGGACAGAGTTGTTTATTGCTGCTGAAGGCATCCATACTGGCCAGTTTGTGTACTGTGGTAAGAAAGGTAAGTTTTACTTTTTTAAACAATAGCTGGCATTCATATGTTGCTTTATGTATGTTCATTTCAGCCTCACAGTCATCTCACTAGGATGTGATTCACAGGGTTAGTCTTTTTTCCATTTAACAGAAAGCAGTTGATGTGGTGACTTATCTGGTCACATACTAGTTGAATATAGGGGTTTTAACCCAGGTTTACCTAACTTTGCTGAGTCTAGCACTACCTCCTACACCTTGCTGCCTCTCTTACCTGTTTCACAGATATGTTGCTGGCAGAAAGTTTTCCTTTTGATTTATCCTAAAAGATGAGCTTTGAGGAAATGGGAAGAATTTTTAAATTTCGTATAATCCAGTGCATCTCTTAATCGGAGTATATGTTCTATCTACAGCATTCCTTATTGGTGGTTATCTTGAATTGTCAAGATAACTACCTACTGAGACAGCAAAGTCCTTCCTTAATACTCTTTGACTGAAAGGGAGCTGACCTATGGTTACCTGTTGTACAGATTCCTGTGTTAATGTAGAATTCCTTAACAAGGTATTTCAAGCCATGCTTTAATTCCGAACTGCCCTTAGCAAGCATTTCTTTGAGAAGGCCCTACTTTTAATCTTATCAAACTGTTAATCTCAGGTTAGATCTTTCGGACTCTCAAGTGTTCTGAATTAGGAGAATTGAATAAGTCTTTTTGCTAATGGTCTTCTCTAGGGAAGTATTCCTTGGTTGGTGAAAATGATTTATCATAAGAGTTTGTGTATGTCTTTCCCCCATTATACTGTAAGGTCCTTGAATAAAAACAGTTTGTCATGTTGTTGTTTTTCCAATCCGAAACACAATACCTTTCCATGTGGGTGCTTTATTGAATTGAACATTGACTTTGTTTTTAGCCCAGCTCAACATTGGCAACGTTCTCCCGGTTGGCACTATGCCTGAAGGGACCATAGTATGCTGTCTTGAAGAAAAGCCTGGGGATCGGGGCAAGCTTGCCCGTGCATCTGGAAACTATGCCACAGTGATTTCCCACAATCCTGAAACCAAGAAGACACGGGTGAAGCTACCTTCAGGCTCTAAGAAAGTGATCTCCTCTGCAAACAGAGCTGTGGTTGGTAAGTTACTTGGGGCGAAGGTACCTAATTGATTTGCCATGGAGCCGATGTAAAGAAACCCAAAATGTTTGTAAAAATTGTAAAATCGGTGTCCTCATAAAATGGTGAGGAATCACCCTGCATTTCTTCGGTTTCTACCAAGTGTCTTCCTAAATGAACTTGGACCTTACAGCTAACAAGCCTCTCAAATCAGTCATGTCTTATAAGTATTTGAAGCTAGCCAGTTGTTTCATCTGCTGTAAGCTATAAGTATGCAAAGTACATTACATATGTTGTCTCATTTGGTTCCTGAAACCTTTTGAGGTAGGTGCTGTTATTTCCATTTTTCAGAAAGGAACTGGGCCAAGAGAGATTCTTTAACTTGGCAGGAACACACAAACCATGAGTGTTTAGGCAAGTGACACATTTATATAGTACCTCAAAGGTTTGCCAAGTGCTAACAACTCAGTTTGCCCACATGGCATCTTAAATTATTTTTAAACTCATTACTTGTTTTGAACAAGTTTGTAAGTGGACATAACACTTAAAATTCATTGATGGGCAATCTGTTGAATAGGGGCTATTTTAGCCTTTGTTTCAAAGCTAGTGATTAATTGGTACGTACATAAAAGTGAGCAAGCTTGTGGTATTAAGAGAATTTTTTTTCTTAAGAATTTATATTTTGGGGTAAAATTTGAAAGTCATCCTTCAGTATGCTTCAGAATATCTGAGCCAGTGCTACACAGGTCTCAGAACTTAATATTGTGCGTGCACAAAGCTGTTGGTGGTTTGCAAACATGTTTGTGTACTTCTCAGCAGGAAATAAGAGGTTGTCTATGTTTATAGCAGAATTAGCCACCCTAATCTATAGCTTAGAAAGTTGAGGTTCAGGTGTGAAATAACATTCTCATACAAGCTGGTTAGTGGTTGAGCAAAGACTAGAACTCGACTTCTCTGGGGAAGTAAAACTTAACTCTGCTTGAAGCCATAATAAATTCAAACATACATGGCCTTGATACACAGCTTTTGCAAGGGTCCTGAAATTAGGCTGCTGAACCAAATGACTCCTGGAATCCCAAGGGATCGGTATTGATGTTGTTCTGATTCTGTTATTAGTCAAGAACCTAAGGGCCTCTGGAGGAATAAGAGCTGCAAATTAGTCCAAAATGTCAGGCTAGTTACAGGGTTTCTGGAATGGGGAAATTGTCCCTAACTCTACGGGCATTGTTTTAGGATTCATGGTGGGGAGGCAGGGAACTGCAAGGGGAAAGAGGCATCCTAAACCAGCCAAAATTTGAGAAAACAATCATGGTCTCACACATCTTTACTTTTTATTGGAAGGTCACTTGGAGACAAGGACTGCAAAGTGCAGTCTGATGGAATCTGGAGGTCAGAATCAGAGGTCTTCAGGGAAGGCAGAGCCTTTATATATTATCTCACTGGGTCCTGAACATTTGTTTACAGGTGTTGTTGCTGGAGGAGGTCGTATTGATAAGCCCATCCTTAAGGCAGGTCGTGCCTACCACAAATACAAGGCCAAGAGAAACTGCTGGCCTCGTGTCCGGGGTGTGGCCATGAATGTGAGTGTTTCATCTGTTGCTTCTGTTCGATGGTAACTCGTGGGGATGTCTCAATGGATACTTCAGTGTAGTTCTAGTCATTAGTTTTTCAGACTGCCACGCTGTGTGGCTGGCTACCTGGGGAGGTGAAAGAGGGCATAACAGCATTCAGTTGAGGCTGCCCTGGATTGAGATTGCAAGTGTTATTCTTTGAGACACGGGTCAGTTAGTTGGTTGGCCATTTACATCTCTGAAATTACTGCTGAACTTCAGGAGCTAAGTGAGGATAGGATTGTTGAGAGGGTGGAACTTAGCTATGGAATCAAATATAAGTGTTAATTCCCTTTAAGATTTTCGGTTTTTCTGGTTTTGTATCATTTTCAGATGCATCCTTTATATCAAGGAGTAAAAAGGGAGGAGCAGTTCAGTACATTGAGGAGGGGGTAGAGTGGGGTGTTTGTCCCTTTCCCTGAGTTGAGTCAGCAGGATTTAAAGGGAAGAAATTCATGTTCCCTTGCGTGCTTGGTGATGTGAGAACCTTCTTTCCCGATAGCCCGTGGAACATCCCTTCGGAGGAGGTAATCATCAGCATATTGGAAAACCATCCACCATTCGAAGAGACGCACCAGCTGGACGAAAGGTTGGTCTCATCGCTGCCCGGCGCACTGGTCGACTCCGGGGTACCAAGACTGTACAAGAGAAGGAAAACTAAAGTACGGAATCCAGACAATAAAAATTATTTTGGAGATTGTGTAAATAGAATTGTATTTGTAGCTCACTAGTGGTTGCTTTAGAATTTGGAACCTCAACAATGCTGTGGGACTAGGTGACATTAATTGCTATTTATATAGGGCTTTTATATCAAAGGAAAAACCCAGGGCCTCTTGACTTTGAGACTGTAAGTTCTTATACCTTATTAGTAAATAATTTGAGCGTATATTCCCTTCTTCCCCTCCCCCCCACATGTATATAAAATACACATTTTAGAAGGTTTAGCTAAATGTGAACTATTGAACCAGAGTCGGTAGCTGGCTCAGCGGCAGGGCAACAGTGTAAGGCAAGAGGAGAGATGCCAATTAGGAGGCCACCATAGTAAGTGGTGAGTGGTAATGCATGCCTGAACTGGGATGATGGTGGGCTATGTGGGGATGAGACTCAAGGATAACACCAAGTTTGTGAGCCTCCTGGGGGCCAGGAAGTTCAAAAGAAGGTGGACTCCAGGGAAAATATGATGAATTCTGTTTAGGATGGGTATTGTGAGAAAACTCAGAGCAGAGTTTGTTTGCTAGGCCCTGGCTTATTAAGTCACCAAGTAGAGTGACTGGCTGGGGGGAGGGGACAAACCAAAGAATATTGAGGAACCAGAAGAAAGAAAGGCCAACCCTCTTGCTGCAGGAAGGCCATAGGTGTTTGAAGAGAACACTTTTCTTTTCGAGAAGCTAAAATACAAGAGAACTTGGAGCTTCAGGAGCACTTAGAAGGGTGGTGGTTCAAAGAAGGTAGTTTAGGGGAAAGGTAATAACATCTCTTCTTGTGCTGCTTGTCTCAGTGGAAAAGGGGGATGGGGTGGCCAGAGCCCATTTTTGCCTTCATAGCTGCTCTGGAGGACTGGGTCAGGTTAGGTTCTTGCCCTGCTTTGGAGTCATTTCTGGTACAGTGGATCTAGTAGGTCCTGAAGATTCAAGTGAATAATCCCTATTAACATCTAGCTACCTCGAGGTAAAAGGCATAAGGCAGTGGTGGTGGCACAGTGTATAAAATGCTGGGCCTGCAGTCAAGTCTGAAAACGGTGACCAAAAAGTCACAAGTAATAAAATCACTACTAACACAAAGTACCAAACTGCTCACATAAGTCATCACAACCAAAGTTAACTCTTAAGTGCTTTATTCCATTCAAGGAGTGAAACAACATGGGGAGGTTGGGGCCGTCCTCTCAGAGACCCAATTCAGCATGGCCAAATCTCAATACATAATTATGCAGTGAGCTGTAGGCCTGCCAGTGAGGGGTAACAGGAACAATGAGAAGTTTGATTCATAGCAGGGTTTCATGACTGAAACATGTGACCTGCAGATGCCTGTCAGGTCTCAGGGACCACCTGGGGATTCATTGAGAAAAAATTCTGGGATTTTGTTGTGACAGTTTAACCAGAGGGTGAACCGTGAAGAATCAATGTGTCACATTCAGGGCGGAGTTTGTTTGCTGGGCCTTAGCTCTGGAAAAGAATGTCTCCTAATAGTAAAAAGAGAGATGGTTTTAGCATGCAGATCCTGACTAGCTTCAGACTCTACTCATCTGTAAAATGAGCTGTAGAAAAAAATGGCAAACCACTCCAGTATCTTTACCAAGAAAACCCCAAATTGGGTCAGGAAGAGCCTGACAAGACTGAAAAACCAATGCAGCAAAGGAGCAGCTAGGTTGCCCGGTGGACTGCCCTGGGCTTGGAGTCAAGAAGGTCCTGAGTCCAAATTTGGTCTCAAACTTTATAACCTTTATGACTCAGTTTCCTCAGTTGTAAAATGGGGATCACAGCATCAACCTCAGGATTGTTTGGGGGTTTTTTTTGGTAAGGCGATTGGGGTTAAGTGACTTGCCCAGAGTCACACAGCTAGTAAGTGTTAAGTGTCTTGAGGCTGGATTTGAACTCAGGTCCTCCTGGCTCCAAGGCCAGAGCCCTATTCACTGCGCCATCTAGCGGCTCCTCTCGGGATTGTTTTGAAGATTAAAAGATTTGTAAAACAGCACAGTGGCTGGGACAGCAGATGCTATATAAGTGCTAATTCTCACCCAAAGGGCAGTGCAAGAAAGTGAAAACCAGAGGCTAGGAGGTTCCCTGTGGTCTCAGGAATTATTCACCAAAGTCCTAAAACTATATTCATTCCTAAAGGGCTCACGGTGCCTTAGTTTAGCTGTGAACTATGTACCTTTACTGAAGTTTCCCCAGTTTCACTAAGGATGATGCTGGGAGAAGTCAAGGGGGTGAAGTGGGAGAATATTGAAAGGGAAAGGGGGGGTAGTTGTGTTAAAAGTGAATTGCAATCCATCTTCTCATTCTGATAATTTACTGTGTGCCAGGCTTTGCTAATTAGACACCCTTCAGATACACAGGAAAAGCTAGAGCATACTAATAGGAAAAATTTTATACACACATATGAATGATGCAAAATAGAAAGTATTCCCTTACTGGATAATCGGTGGGGACGACCAGGAAAAGCCCTAAAGGTGGTGTAAGGTCTAGCAAGACGAGATGGAAATGAGAGAATGCATCCTACACTTGGGGACAGCCAGAGCTAAAGAATGGAGGGCACAGGAGTCTGGCTGGACGTGTAAAGTTCCCCTGTCCCCCTGGCTTTCCCCATCAGTCTCCGCAACAGGCCACGGATGCTTTCCAGACAGCTGCAACGTCTGTCTCCAGACGCCCTCCCCAGCTGGCTCCGGGTTCCCGGCAGGGCCATCCCACACAACCGCCCTAAAGGGCACGCCTGTTTCCAGCCTCACCCGTCCAGACAGTCCCCTTTCTCCCATGTTCTTCCTCAAACCGCCGCCCCCGGTATTTGTAGGGCAAAGCCGAGGGCCGGAGGGGGCGCTGGCCCCGGCATCTGCCGCCTAGCCCCCGGTGGCCACCGTCTCGAGCTGCCCAGCTCTGGCCGAAGTTAGAGCCGGAGAGGTCGGTCACCCGACGTAAGACCCGCTGTACCGAGAAACACAGATGAAAAGCGCCCTGACTGGACGAACTACAAGACCCACTGTGCCCCGGCAAAGCCCAAGTCAGCGCCTAGGCTGCCCTTTGCTCAGCCGCAACCGGAAAGGGGATGAGGTGGGCGTGGCCACCACGTCCTAACGTAGTGAGAATAAGTCGGCTCTAAGCGGGCACCGTGAGACACACAGTAGGCAGCCATGACAGCGTGGGGCGGAAGAGAGGAAGGCAGGAACATGATGGCAAAGTCTGTAGGCGAGAGAGGAAAGCTGGAGCATGTCGGCCATGTTAGTGTGGGGTAGCAAAGAGGAAGGCAGAGGTGTGGTGGCCATATATGCTGGCAAGAGGACAGAAGGCCGGGTGGGAGAGAGACCGAGCGAGCTAAGGACACGGAGGCTGTTTCTGACCAGGGGAAAGGCGGAAGCGCAGCAGCCATGTCTGTCAGGGGCGGGAGCGGAGGAAAGGCAGACGCGGGAAGCCATGTCTGTTGGGGGCAGACGAGGGGAAAGAAAGGCTGCAACAGCCATCTTTGTAGAGGAATCGTTGTGGGTCGGGGGAAGAGTGTGGTGGCTCTGGTTACTTTCTGACCCAGCCTAGAGATGAGATAGGGGCCTGAGGGTCTCCCGAGCCTCTTCCCTCCTGTCCCTAGCCCTGGGGTCGCCGACGTTACTACCCCCGCAGCCTGGGGTGGGAGAAGGAGTGCCACGCAGCCGACCCCTTTCTGCCCACCAGAGATCGAATCCGCCCACCACCGAGTCGCGGGGACCTCCAGCCGTCCTAGAGCGGCCGCTGAGGTCCCGGACCGCCTGTGGGGGGTCGGGGGGGGCTCTTCCGGGTGGGCGGTTTTGGAGCCCGCGGTCTCTGTGTGTGTGGGTGTCACTTTTCCCTTTCCTGCAGTGGGTGAGTCCGGGCCCGAGGGAGGCGGGTGAGGGGGTGGAGGCTGTGTGAGCATCCCGGGGTCACCACTCCCCAGATTTCTCCCTCGACCCTCCTGGCTACCGGGACCATTATCCCCACGATACCGCTTGGCTTCGCACCTCCCCAGTGCCCTCAGCCGTCCCCCGAAGTCCTGCAGTTACTGAGCTTCGTTGTTGGCCTTCTTTGGGTCTTAGACCCCACGGTGAACCCGGAGCTCTGCACACAGTAGGCAGTTAATGTTTGTTGGATGGGAGTGTTTGGTTGATGCCTCCCTCCCCACCAAGGTCAATTGCTGAATTGTGGGGTGCAGACCACGAATGGCCTGCTGGAGCCCCGAGGAGAAAGGCGCATCCGTGATGACTGGGTGGGGGACAGAATGGTCTAAAGGCAGTGGGGCTTCGTCTGTCTGTGTGCACATCTGTGCAGTCATCGTGCTGAAGCCTGAACCCCTTCTCAGGATAACGTTTTAAAATTATTGAATGAAATGCCAAGTTTCAGTCAGAGAAAAGTGAAAATAAAGACATTTTTGTTTTCCATCCAAGTTAACAGGGAATATCCAGGGATTCCCTTGGGAGTCCATGGACCCCAGTTTAAAAACCCCAGCTATATATAGAGAAAAGCACAATATTTGGCGTCGAGAGAAACTAAATTATTAAACCCATCTTTGACATTAGCCAGTTTTTTTTCCTGTGGTCATCTGCAAAATGAGAATAAGGAAGGGATCTGTTCAGGAGCTCTTTCCATGTCTGACTTAGTTAGATCTAAGTCTAGGTAGATGGCATATAGCAGTTTTTAAAATTTGAAAAGTATATGAAGTTTTATGAGCTTCACCACTAGACTGTGTGTTTTGCACTTTTTCTTAGACCAAACTTGTAATTTCGATGCTTTAGGGAACTCCCAGTGCAGATATACAGCTGTCTGCGACTCAGAGTTTTAGAGTTGCCTGGGGACTCTTGCCCAGAGTCGTTTAGCTAATGGGGGTCCCAGATCTTCCTGATTCCCAAATCCAGCACTGTCCTCTAGTCTAGACCCAGGGTTCTTTGTATGTGTGTATTTAATGGACCCCTTAAGTAGTCTGTTAAAGGACTGGCATCTCAGAATAACGTTTTAAATGCTACAATAAAACACAAGATTATAAAGGAAA